CCGCGCAGGCCGGGAGCTCGCGCGCACGCCGCCGGGTGATCGCAGACAGGCAGGCAGGCAGGCAGCTCTGCCGTTGCTTTAATAAGCACAGGTAAATCCAACAGAATTTTGTAACACAACAAATCAGTCTGTATTTTATAATTTTCAGAAAGTGGCTTCAGAGACTAAACCTTATGTGCTTTTAAATAGTCAGGTTTCCTATATTTAACTGCCATAGACAGAAGTCATTTGCCTTCTTGGAAAAATAGATAAAATTTGAACATGATAATCTGTCAGGACTTCAGAAGGAAGTGAAGGTCAGAGAGCGGGACACTGCTGCTTCTGTTTCCACCCCAGGCTCTGATGTCCTCATCCTCACGCCCCTGAGCCCCCCGCTTTGCTTTCATTGCAGGGCCCACCAGGGCAAAAAGGGGATCCAGGAGCCACGGAGATCATAGACTACAATGGCAACCTCCACGAAGCCTTACAGGTGAGAGGCTGCCGCCCCCACCCCAAGCAGCTGGGTCCCAGAGGCACCCCTGGGCGTGGGGCAAGCTCCCGTCCCCCCAACCTCACAGCCAGCAGCTGCCTGCTCAGAGCCCACTCCTTTCTGCCCCCATTATCTTTACTTGGTAGGGTTTGGGGCGTTTTGTTTTTTTGCAGTAGTGGGGCTTGAACCCAGGGCTTTACACACACTGGACAAACACTGTACAACTGAGCTATACCCCAGCTTTTTTTTTTTTTTTTTTTTTTTTGGTACTGGGGATCAAACTTGGGTCCTTGAGCTTGCAAAGCAGGCACTAGAACCACTGAGCTAAATCCCTGGCCCTTTTTGAGACAGGCATGGCCAACTGTGATCCTCCATCCTCCGCTTCCACGAAGCTGGGACCACGGACGCAAGCCACTGTGCCGTTTTTAATCTCTCCCTTTCTTTGCACGCCGCCTTCAGACAATCCTAAGCTCATCGAGCACAGACTGTGTCAGTAGAGCCACTTCGGCCTCGTCCCTTGAAGAGGGAGCTCTGTAAAGCAGTTATGACTCCTGTGCTCTGGGGTGGCAACTTCTTGGGTTCAAATCTCAGTTCTTTTGCTTATTCAGTAGGTGAGCTAGGGTAGGTTGCTCCACTTGTGTGTGCCTTGGTTTCCGCATCTGTGAAATGAAGAAAGTAGCAGGGAGAGGCTCAGGCCAAATCTCTACCCTTCTCTTAGAACACAGCCGGGCACATACAGTTATGTTCTTTTCCTTCCACTAAGTACAGAACAGGCTCTGACTTTCCACCACTGCTGCTTCCCGCCTGTCCTCTCCTGGTCCTGGTTCTCAGCATTCCTTTGCAGCTTCTTACAGTGACCCTGACCATTGGCCTGGACCCTCAGCCCTGACCCTCAGCCTGGTCCGGTTGGGTGCTGTCCACTTCAGCACTGGGTGTGAAAGTCCTAGACCTTTGGCTCAGCCAGTCCTAGACTTCATCACAGGAGGCTCACCTGTGCCCTGCTCTCCTCCTTCTCCCTAGAATGAGTTCTCCTGCCCAATGACAGTAGAACCTTGACTTACAAACTCGATCGGTCCCCAGAGCTGGTTGTAACTCGAGTTGGTTGTATCTGGATGTGTACAGCATGAGACCTCTAGGTAAAGCCCAGTGCATTCTGCTTTCTTGACTTTCGTGTGACATTTACTCCAAGCCATATTCCTTTTGAAACTCTTCTCTCTTTTTCTTAACTCTTCCTTTTCTTGGTCTCTCTGAGCTCCTACTTTCGCTCCCTCCATTTTTCTCCTCCGTCGGAGCCATTCTAGTTTGCTGTTCCCAACTTCTCCGCCCATCACCATACGTGTGGTATCCGGAGGCCTCTGGCATCTCCGCTCAGTGTGCTTTCCAGTCCGGGTTCTCGGTTCCTCCGTCCATGGATCAGGTCGGCTTGGGTGCCTCCGGCCGTCTAACAGTAATTCCTCCTCAGACGTACCATCGCCTGTGGCCTCCCACCAGTGCTCACGGTATGCTGTCACCTCTCCCACCTACCAAGCGATTCCTCTTCTTAATTAACCAGTCGCTGTTGGTGGTGCCGTGAGTCTGGCTGTTTCTCTGGTAAAGGCATTACCGCCACTTTGAAACTACTCCCAGCATTTCGTCCATTCCATCTCACCAGGGACTGTTTTTCTCACAATGTTTCTTGACACCTCCTCCCCTCCATTCCTGAGAGGGCCACATCCCGTTTTCTTCATTCCCGACGCGGTCACAATCCCTAGGCCAGTCGGTCCACATGAGCAGTTTACACCCAGGTGGCAGCCTCCAGGTCAGTGTCACGTTTGAGACCCAGTTTTCTAAACTGTTCACTTTTTCCACAAGTTAGTACAGCATATGGGGAGAAAGAGGAGAAAGAACACAAAGTTTAGTGTACCTACTGTGTTTTCAAAGTTCTTAGTTGCAAAATAAATTACCGAGATATAGGGACACTGTTTAAAACTGGATTTATTGGCAGTGTTGTGCATTTCTCTTAAACTGCTGCAATGGCACCGTGATTCCTGCGTCCACCTTTAGGAAGGGTCTGCTTTCTTATCTTCCCAAAAATGCTCCAATCCTCCTGGCCATTTCCTGCAACGTTGTGAAAGAGTTTTGAAAGCATTCTTTAAACAGAGTCCGGCGTCTGGCCTATCCTTAGCCTGAAATGGAAATCTGTGTTCCAATCTTCCTTCTATGGCCACCAAACCTTACTGGGTCATTTTGGGGGAACCACTGTCTCTGCCCTTCACTGATCTTGTCTGCAAAATGAAGATGTCAACAGCATAGATATTTTCTAAGACTTTATGAAATGTATTATTATGAGGGTTGTATTTAGGAGCTTCTGAACACTTTTTCACTGGCAGAAAAGCACTGTGAATACATTATGCTTAACTTCTTTTTCTCGTGTCAAGTTCTAGATGACAAATTCTGGTCAGTGTCCACCATATTCACCTATTTCCTGCCTACGCCCAATCTAAGAATATTTTATCCTTACCACACTGTGAGGGCAACTATATCTTATGCCTATAAATAGCTTATAGTTATTTTTCACTTCAAAACTATTTACTGGTTTTCCTAACAGATTACTCTAGTAGATAGTCCTAATAAAGTGCATTCCATTAGACTGAGAGAGAAGACATTCATTCTTATTTTCTAACCAGTGATGACTATTTACATTTATTAGATTTCATTTCATTTATTACCTCCTATAAAAAGGTTTTCCAACAGAGCTGAGGTAATTTGATAAATAGGAGCATATTACAGTTATAGTAATACTGTATTTAAGGTTTTAGGGCCGGGGATTTAGCTCAGTGGCTCCACCGCCTGCCTCACAAGCACAAGATCCACAGTACCAACATAAATAAATAAAGTTTTCCATTATTTCAGTCTATGAAAAAGTACTAAGAATAATATAACTTCTGTGGGCCCAATACTCCCCTGAAACGATAAAACATTACCTTATTCTGATGAAGTACTACCATATGTAGTGTCCTTGTGATAGCTGGTATTCTGAATTTGGCATTTGTAATTCTCACATGTGTCGTTGCAGCTAATTGAAAACACCAAAACCCGAATAACAAACTACTTGCCAAGTCATTTTTAAGTGGAATGGAAATTATGAAGTAAAAACCCTGAGCCATGTCATTACTTTTCTTTTTGACAGCAGGGAACGTGGAGAGAGCTTCTCTCTGCTGGGGCGCTATCTTGCACTCCCTGGTACGGCTTCAGGCTTCCTGTGAGGTGTTTTACCTGCCTTCCCAGGCCCGTCCCTGTCTGCATGCCCCATCCCATCTGCTCGATCCCTGTTACTGTTTTTCAAATTACTATTTCCTGTTAGACTATTAAGCTACATCCACCTACAGAAATGAAATTGTTTATATCAATACTGCTTAACGCTACCGTATTTAAGGTGGTTAAGTTTCAACAATTAGCAACAAAACTTTTCTGGATCCCATTTCAAGCTATTAAAATTCTCACTGCCATATGGACCAACTTGCCCTTTCATGTAAACCGTGAGTGATTGTTAAGCTTGCATCTTTGCCAAAAAAAAGAAGGAAAATAGCTTCAATTTGAAAGGGATTCATAGAGACATGCCTGGAAACAAATCACCAGGTGTCCTGCTGGGCTTCACCCAGGACACAGTGGCTCCAGCTGAGGCTCCCGCCTCGCACCCTCTGCCCAGAGGATCATCCTGGGCTTTCTCCATCACCACCAGAACCTCTGGTGTTCCGATCACTCGTGGAGTTCACAAAGCAACCCTGCTGGGTTTGTGTAGCCTTAACCTGGAGAAGCCTCATGCTGGAAGCCCAGAGTGTGCTGGGTGTCTGCTCGTGGACACTGCGACAGTGATGGGAAAGTGTTGGTGAAGTCCGCTTAGCAGGCTGTCCTGTGGGATTCCGTGTATCACAACACAGCCATTCACGGTGTCCTTTAAGCCCCGCCCATTAGTTCATGTCCACTAATACTACTACTGTGCTATGTAGCTTACTATAAAACACATTTTTAGCCTTTAATTTTTTAAAAAGACAAATTGGGCTTCTGTTTTTTTAGTTGGAAAAATAGACTTATATATGGGATTTTCACCAAAAACCTGAGAGTTTGGATTGTGCAGCTGCTTCCTCTTACAAGGTTTTGTGCTTCTGCTTTCTAGTTAAAGTGCAGTGTGTAACTGGCAGGCAATGATAGAGGAACCATTTCTATGCTGTAATTTTCTAATAATCGTACATGACTCATCTATACCCTAAAAACAAAGGAATTGCTTTTTCATAGCTGTGAGATGTGATCAAGAAATATGCTGAATATTTAATGAAGAATTGTTATAGTAAAAAACATATTACTATTCATCTGCCTCAAAATCCTCCCATCACTTTGAGCACACTCATCCCATTGTCCTCGCCACCTCCTGCAGCAGCTCTGGAGTCCTCTATCCTGAGGGTCTTTAGTTGTACTGTCCTGGCTGCCTTGATGTCCTGAATTAATGCAAAGTATTGACCTTTCCTGGTCATTTTGACTTTGGGGATGAGTCAGAGTCACACAGTGCTAGACCTGGTGAGTCGATGGACATATGACTGGTGTTTTCACAACTGGCCTTTCCACCGGATGCATTGGGTGGCGCTGGACAGTGGCATTCTCTATACTTTTGATCACACCTGGTTAAGACACAGACGAGGACCTCCAGAGTTGCTTCAGAAAGGACAAAAAGGATGGGGTGAGCGTCTCTGAGGAAAAGGGAATCTGTGGCAATTTGTCTTTATTCAGTAATAATATTTTTAAATGTAGACATTCACCATCTCAATACCCCTAATATAGCAGGAGCACCCCAAGTCCTGCTCTAGGTAACTCCCTGGAGGATAAAGTCAATGGTACTTCATGTCACACCAGTATCAAATTCTGGGCCCTCATTTCATAAATACATAAATGTGTATTTAAATTTGCCCCCAGTTTGTACCTTTGTCTTAGAAGGACTCATGTTTCTTTCCTACTGTTTTCTTGGAAGCTACATGTTGGTCATGTCTGACTTAGTTACGGAAGACAAACTGACTACTGACACACACATATAACATTTTTTTCTGAGGATGCCAGTATCCTGTCACTAGAGACAGATGTTTGAAGACAGACAGTAAATGGTAGGAGCACATTTTACAACAATGACAAAAACAGCAAAGACAGCTTGGATCAGAAATGGGGCCCAAGCAGTGGAATGCAAAACACCAGTAGTGGGCCGATATCAGCAAGTGTACCTGGGACTGTGGGTCTCTGACGCGCTCCTTACTGGAAAGTGTTCCTTCCTCCATGGCTGCATAAGGTTATTGGCGGACTCTACAGAGCTTGTGACAAAGGCTCTGAACTAGAAATGATGAGTACAGAAACATGATCATGGATTGGGAATCATGTTTTAGAAATTCATACTTCGAGAGTACATCTGGGTTAAAGGAGCACAGCACTTTGAGAAAGTGGATTAACTCAGCAAAAATAAAATTCTAGAGATAATTTTAAAAATGAGTTCACTGTATTGATGATGGGGAAAAAATGTCCTCAGCATCTTTTCAGTTCCTTGTGAGACGTCAGACTTAACAAAATGTATTCAAAAAGTCCATTTTTTTCAGAAATGTATCATTGTACTTTGGCAGACAAAATAGGTAACTCTGTCTTTGTCATACATCTTTCCCACAGAGGATTACCACCCTAACTGTCACGGTAACTCCTGTTGCATGACTTCTGTGGCTTGTGACTGTGTACTTAGTGCTGATGCATGCAGGCTGAAATGGTACTAATGTGCTGTTATTTGTATCAGATAGTAAATGTTCCCTTATATTAACAGTGCTTTACCACATTTGCCCTAGTTAAATCCCTCTGTTTCATGAAAAAGTCAAGAAAAAAGTTACTCATTTCTTTAGAAGTCTTTGGCTTTTTGGTAACAATACAGCTTTTGTTCTTTAGGTTGCAGAAAATCAAAGGCTTTGGGCTAGAGGGTTCAGATGTGTGTCTAGAAATCCAGGGAATAGTAGTGGGCTGGCTCCTCCCGAGAGATGAACCAGGGGCCTGGCGGCGATTACAAACCCTCAGAACCAACGCCAAAGCATCTTCAGTATTATTTTGACATATGAGTATGCAGTTTTCATAGTTATATAGCCTGTGAAATGTCTCCCCTTTGAAATAGCAGTAGGAGATATCTGATAATGACAGGAATAGAAGAGGTGTGCAGCGTGCTGATATTAAGGCATGAACTTTAATACATATACTTGGTGCTTCTTATAACTATTTCTTTTCTTCCCTCAGGGTCCCCCTGGGCCTCCTGGACCTCAAGGACTACAAGGGCCAAAGGTTATGTTTTGTTTACTTGTTTCCCTGCCATCCGCTAAGATGCACAGAAGCCCATAGGAAATATCTGTATCTTTAAAAATCAGTCCTAGTCAGTGCAAGAGAAGCAAGATCAGCAATAGAGCTTTAGAGAATGAAGAGAAACTGAGCTAAGGGAAGAGGGAAAATAGGAAGGAAGATTAGGAAAGAAGGCAGAGAAATGGGAACTAAATTTGGGGAAGGACATTGAAAAACAGAAAATACTAAACAAGGGCAAAACAGGTTCAACAGAAATTGGAAGTGTGAAGAAACACTAACTTTGGTGTATGGAAAAAGAAGTTTTCAAGTAGAAGAAGATTGAAGGAGATCTGCTTTGACACTCAAAAAGATCCTTCTAATTCTTCTGTACTAAAAAGAACAAGGGAAGCTTTTGTGCCTGAAGCATTCATAAATGATAATTTTAGGAATGGCTTTTGAGTTTATTTTATAACACGTCCCTTTATTGCATAGATTCAGACATTCTGCTACTTAATTCTTAGGGAATGAAACATACCAGCCACAAACAGTAGAAACTGGAACGACTTGGTTATAAATGAACTCTGTTGTTGGTTTTCCCTTTACCCCCTCCAAGCTGAGGTTTAGTCATTCAACCATGCTTGATCAATTAACACATGGCCGGGGACGCTGGCTTTTCAGAACTGAGCTACACGTGTTGAAATGTGACTTTCGTCATTGGATTCTTATAGGAGATTCAAGTGGTTTCAAAGTTCTTCTTTTGTTTATGCTTTGCAAGTCAGTTTATTTGCTGAGCTGTCCTGCACACACATGCACATATCAGCTTTTGTCCTCTTCTCTTTCTAAATGCAGAAACATTTATTTTTCTATTAAAAGAATATAAAATATAATGTTACTGAGACCCTTGCCTATGTGAGCAGAAGTATTTAGGGCACAGATTCTAGCTGCAAAAAGATTCCGTGTATAACATCAATAGAAGGTACGGCATTTTAACTTCCTATTTCTGCACCCTCTTTTAGTCCATAAGAAACGTAACCCAAAATACGCTGCAGTCACGAGATGGTCTTTGTCTGCTGAGCAGGTCGGCCCACATCCCTGCTCTTTAACTTTTCCTGGCTCTTTTGTGTAGTTAATTAGGGTCTAAGGTCTCTGCCCCACCGTCTCACTTGACCAAGTATCATGCAGGCCAAGCACATCCCCCATTTTGCCCAAAACCTCAGACCTTTTCTCTATAGTTCCAGGCCCAACAAAAGCGCAAAGGGTTCCCACCCCTGGACCCAGATAGGCCAAGAAGGAACAGCTAGCTAAGAAGGCTGCATCACTAAAACCCCTACACCTCATTTCATCACCCAAGTAGTATTTGTGTATCAATTCAGTTATTCACTAAGTTTTGCTTCTCTGATCTGATGAGGGTTAAAATCTAGTAAGGAGACCAGTAAAGGGTCTCAGCGCACAGCATTCAGCCGAGGGAGGGAGGCAGGAAAGTAAAACGCATGGCGTAGACAAACAGCTTCGGTTAAGAGCATGGGCACGGATTGTGTGGAAGCCTGGGTTTCAGGATGGCTTTGGGTGACTGCGCGGCACGGGGAATGGCCAGCTCAGTGTCTAGACAGGGGTGGCCGGAAGGGCTGGTCGTGTGTTCACTCGTGTGGCCCTTCGCACATTCCCTGACCTGTCCTTGAGAACAGTGGGATACTGCAGGTAGGACGCAGCTAAGGCCAAGTGAGAGCAGAACGCGCGCAGCTCGGATGCCCAGCGAGGTCTCCGCTGTGGTCCCCTCTCAGCAGAAGAGGAACCTGCTCAATCAGCCTCTCTCCCTCCTTTCTCAAACAAGAATGATTTGATTTCTCACACATCCAGTAATTCTCTTGAACCTATCAAGGGGGGAGGATGAGTACTAATCATGCAGAAACTGTGCTGGTGTCTAAGCAGCCATGGGTCGTAGTTTAAAGCCAGAACCCTGCAGAGTGCAGGCAGGCATTCAGTCCTAGCGAAGGTCAGGCCTCGCCAGCTCATCTGACCCCAGCATTCGTGTGTGGTGAGAGAGAGAACAGGCAATCTGAAATGGGGACCCTTCCCACCCCAAGCATTTCATTGCTTACAAGGACAAGCTCGTGCCTTCCTTGAACATCGGGAAGCTCACGTTTCATCTGTGGCCCATGGCAATTAAAGAGTTTTTTTTTTTTAATCAGGGAAAGGAGCTCAGCTATTTCAATACTGTGTTTATAACACCACCAAGAAGCTGTTCTAGAAAATACAGCCTAGAAAATACGCCTGAAATCATCTCCCTTGGAAATCTCTCACATGTAGAGCTGTTTCGAGGATTTCTACAGTGTGGGAATTGGGAGTATTTCTAATGAGATCCACACAACTGCTCATTGATATAACATCTTTTCAAGGAATTTGTTGGTTTAGTGCTCTCTACAACAGGTGACTAAATGTGTTGTTTGGATAAGCTCTAGCATATTGTTTAAATTTGTTTTTTATTGGAGCATCTTAGTTTTAAAAAATTATGTATTTTGAGTTTGTCAAAAGTTCCAATAAATCATAACAGACAATAGATTTTATTTCCACTCCTAGAATAGTATAGAAAATTGAATTGATATAAAAATTGTTGTGGATTAAGATACTATCTGATTTATTATATCCTTCAGTGAGGCTTTTCTGGACAGGGTACACTCACAATCATTATGAACTTATTCAAACGGTGCCAGTTAAAATATTGCTATAAATTGCCAAGGGCTTCTATATCATTCTGTTTTTACTAAAAATAAGAAAAACCATACAGATTTCAGATGTACAAAAAAATTAACTTGAGTCAACATGTGTTCCTATAGGATATGATCAGCCATGAAACTATTTTTATCAGTTTTCTTTTACCATTTTTCTAGCCTGCATCTCACATGGAGGAAAATAATAAAAGCACAGAATCTTAGCCACTTCCAAGCCTTATCAAGGAAAATGGCCGCTAGCTCACTTAGTGAGGCTAGGTCCCTTAAAAGTATTCTTGGGCACGTGTTAAAACTCAAATTGTACTTTTAACCATTAGCATCATTTTTTAATATAATAGCAGTAATAAATAGAAGTGAGCTGTTGTTTATATTTTTGTTAAGTTTATTGGTACATTTTAGGTGTATATTATGATCTCATTCATCACTGGGAATTCATACCTGTACATGATACATCTTGGTTCTTATTTTTTCCCATTCCCCTTGTTTTTACTTTAACAGGGCGATCCAGGGTCTCCAGGAACCCCAGGAGCTGATGGAGAGCAGGTAATTTCCAAGCCTGTATACCATTATTTAAAATATCATTATTGACACCACTTTCATCCTAGGTTTGAAGCCAAAACATGTATGCACACTGGTATGATACCATCTCTCTTCCACCTCTGCTCTGGAGACCACATAAACTCAACAAAGCAGTTGGTCTCAAGATTGGCTTTAGATTTAACTTGCAGAAACATAAAGCTGCATGATATTTTAGGTTGGTTCTCACTATCTCCCACCAATCTGCCAGTAACTCCTCTGCACTTTAATAAACCTGTAATATTGTCGCCTGCCTCTTGCCGACGAGTACATGTGACTCCAGACTACAGTCAGTGACCAGAGTTCCTAAAACATAAGTGTTTTCTTTCCCAAGTAGAGGTCATAACTAATTTCCTAGATTCTCAGAAAAGATCGAAACAAGTGGGCATTTAGAGTTCTACAGAGTACTAGTTACCTCGGGGCTGCCCTAGGCAGAGGCTCACGTGCTTGTTCTACAAAGAACTAGAAAATAAACGTCTTGGGCTTTGCAGGCTGCACAGATCTCCAGCACGCTTTCCCTTCTAGCACTTGTTAGAAATTCTGCCTGAACAAAGACAGTGCCTCGGCTGTTGTAGGACAAGTGCTGTGGTGTGGGCAACTCCTGCCTCTTGAGACTCTTCCCAGGAGGACATGGACAACATTCAGAATCAAATTGAAGGATTAATTTAGAGATGTTTAGTGTTTCCTGAGCTTCCATTATTTACCCGAGAAACGGCTAAAATCACAGAAATTATAAGATATCAAAGGGGTTCTTTAATTTTTTTTTTCCTGTTTCCTGGCACTGGGAATTGAATTCGGAGCTCTTCACATAGAGCTGCCTGCCCTGCTCTTCTCCCGTTTTGTGTATTGAGTTAGGACCTCGCTAAGTCACCAAGTTTCCCCGGGCCGGGCTTGCCCTTGTGTCTGTGCCTCAGCCTCCAAGAGCGCTAAAGCCTGGGCCCCCGCACCTGGCCCCCAGGGGATTGTTGGTCCAGCCCGTGAACGTAATTCCTCCAGAGAAAATACCAGGCAATAATTAAGTTTATGAGAAGTGTTATTTTTAAGATCAGAGTTGTATGTCGAAGTCGTACACCACACTGAAGAAACTTTGATACGAAAGAAAAGCAGTTGATTTGCTGTATCAGCTGGAGTTCGCATGGGGACCTGAGGCTCTGGCCGTGACCCCTCCCGCCGTCATCAGTATAAATAAGTGGACACGTGTGATGATGTACTCCACGGCCCCACATATACAGTAGTTGGATCTTCTGTAAGCTTTGGATCCGTCTGGCACCCAGTTCAGTGGGTTGGCCGAGTCATCTGTCCCCATCACTAGGATTAACCTGGAGGACGCACCCACCCATCCGTCCATCCGGGCAGCACCCCACTCGCCCCCGCCCCCTGCACGATTCTGAACTAGGTGTACAAGATAGGCTCGGTCCACAGGCGAGGACGTTTCTGTCCCTGAGAGAGACCAACAGGCCTGTGCTGCCTGGAGGGCCTGTGCCACAGGACCATGATCCTCCCCTCTGGAGGCTGGGCCAGCTGCTCATACTGACCGAGATCCCCACAATGAAGATGGTTATTAGTCACAAAAGTTAACTTCTGTGTTCATGTTACACAGTTCAGAATTAACACTCCTAATGCACACTTCTCTATGTCCTCACTGTAAGGAAAATAAAAACAGTCTGGCTCCCCTCACAGAGATGACAAGATAAGAATGCTGTGGAGAAGCTGAAATGTTTTTACCATCGCTGAACCTTAGTGGTCAGTAAATAATTTACCTGTCTCAAGCCTGGAACACTGAAAAGCAATGGCTGAAAGTCTGTGTGTAGTGAAAATAGAAACTGAATAAGTGGGGAGACATGGTTGAACTCTGTCTGGACTTTTTGTTCTCGCACTAGATTCTCATTAAACTGTACACTGTACTGCTAGAATTAGGGCCATTACATTGTTTTCTTGACTGGTTACATGGAGGTAGCTGCCAGTATAATATATGAAATCAGGAGAAATGATGTCAAAACATAAGTTTGTGTTTTTCATATTTAAATGGATTATCAGAATGTAAATCCCTTCCTTGCATGGGGACTCAGTATTGATTCAGTGCAGATTTTTAAGAAACCACTCTACCTAAGAATGAAAATAGAGTCATCTCCAATGCCTGGTGCCTATCGAAGGCCTTTAGATAGACCCTCTGTAGAGTAACTGACTCCTGATCACAACTACAACCCTCTTCAGCCAGAAGTAGCCAGAATGGTCTTTGCCCTTTGCCCCCTCACAGCATTTAGGGGCACCTCTTCAGAGGGGGGATATTGCAGATAGGTAAGTTAATTAGGTATCTTGTAGGCAGTTAGACAGGGCCAGCCCATGAGGAGCCAACATGGAAGAGAGTCGAGACATTCAGTGAAGGCCAGCACTGGGAGAGGAGAGAAACTACCACCCCACGTAGGGTGAACAGCAGTGATTGATATCCTAAATAGGTATCAATCACCTGGGTGAGGGGCCCAGGTCTTAACCCAGCCTTTCCAGGAACGATCCCTGACCCACCCTTACTGAAAATCCTTGTACAGTGGCTAAGTGACTTGCTCTCCCATTAGATCCCTGTTTAATCGATATCACCTGGGTGACTGAACTTGTAATCTTATTGGTTGGTCATGGTTTTGCCCCACCTCATGCCCTCCTTGTAATTTTCCATCAGGTCTTACAGTTTTGCCCCACTTTGTACCCGCCTCACCACATGGCTTTGCAGTATAAAAGCTTTGAAAAGTGGGATGGGCGAGTAATCCACTTGCCAGTCCTCCTGTCTCTCTCAGAAGCTTTCTTTCAATAAATTTTTCCTACTCTTAAAAAAAAAAAGAAAAACAAAAGAGTCATCTTCCCATTGAATTTACCTGTTGAGAAAATGGATCTGTATTCTCTTTTCCCAGATGTAACTGTCACAGTCACTGTGCTTCTCACATTCACATCCTGTCATTTTCAGGGACTCAAAGGCTCAAAGGGAGACACAGGGGACCCAGGTGTGCCAGGTGAAAAAGGAGGAATTGGACTTCCTGGATTACCGGTATGTTTACACTTCTTAGGGTTTGTTCTTTTTAAGACAAACTGAAAATCAAAAAAGAATTATTAACTGAAATCTCAATCAGTGGTTCCTGTAGTATTTTTATTTTGAACTATTTGAAATATTATTGGTTAATTAGTCCAAGTGGGGAGCTGAACTGCAAAAGGCAAATGTATTACAAAGTAAACCTTCAGACTTTCCTGAATCTTTTCATTAGAAGATGGTAAAATATAACTGGTCACTTTGATTTAGCATGAGTAACATGGTGGTGACTGATCACGATAAAATAAGCCAAAAGGAAGTAAGTCAAAAAAACATAGAACAAGCCAGGTGGTGCAGGTCTGTAATCCCAGGCTGAGGCAGGAGGATCACTGCAGGTTTGAGGCCAGCCTGGGCTACATAGTGAGTTCAAGGGCAGCCTGAACCTCATAGCAAGACCATCTCACAAAAAGGATATGTATCTATAGAGAACAATTAAAAAATTAGGTGTCTCCTGGTGTGCATGATACTCTCAGACAATGCTTTTATAGATCCCCCATAATTTTTACTGAGAATTGGCAGGGGCAATGTAGATGCTATTTTTCAAAATGTAGTGAACTTTCCTGCCCTACATCTTTTTTAAAGAAAGTATATAAATAAATGGCCATGAAAACTAAGTTAAAAGGTTCACCTCTGCTATTCGAAATGAATTCCACCATAAAGGATGTAACGTTTATAGCCCAATATATTTAATACTGTGCAAGTTTAATCGTGTCCAACCTAGCTTTTTATCTATTTTATATATGACCTATGATCCTGGATATTTTAGTAAGTGTTATTTTAAGCTAAAATACAAGGAGGTAAGTCCTTTTATAGACCTTGTGTGTCATAATGTAAAACGTCAAGGGCATGGTGGGGTTGGGAGCACACGCAGTGTCCCTTACACACCAGGGCTGCCTCTGCCGACTGACCTCTTCCTGCTTGTTTTTTGTAGGGTGCCAATGGGGTGAAAGGAGAAAAGGGAGACTCCGGACTGCCGGGCCCTCAGGGTCCTTCCGTAAGTGCCCAGGCTTAGCATCCAGGCTGCTGAAACACGCGGGGCAGAGTTAGGGTTCCCCAGGCCCCGCCATGTCGTAGGGCACCAAGAGCAGGGAGGCCGAGAACCAAGAAACAGCCATCGCCTCACTCAGGGAGACAGCGCATCTCCACAGCCTGAGTGAGAAGCGCGTCTTCAAAGGGCTGTCGAATCCCAAGAGGAAAAGAAATCCAATGGGTTTCCCACAGCAGTTGTGGGTAGAGTTTTGTGAAAAAGGAGAACTTATATCCTTTCCTTTCTCCAGGCCCCTGTCTGCACATAGTGAAATACTTGAGTTTCACAGGGGTTGAGGCATGAAAGTAGTTCTTGGTCATCAGTTGCTTCTTTTCCTTTTAATGTATGTTTAATATATCTGGGCATTCATATAACTGTGCTTTTTAAGTATTGTACTCTCATGAAGGAATTCCTAAACCCAGACCCAGCAGCATTCCTAGTCTCTCTTTCACTGCGGCTGGTAATGGCCGCAGCAGAGCCCACACGAGACCCAGGCTGACCCGCCTTATCTAAAGGAAGTAACCAAGCCCGTGTTTGTTTTTTGGATACACAGATCATAGGCCCACCAGGCCCCCCGGGTCCCCACGGTCCTCCTGGCCCCATGGTAAGTTTCCCATCCCTCCAGATGTACTTGTTTATTTATGAGTGTGCTGTGGGCAGAGCAGGAACACATGAAGAGCCGGTGTGGGCCCCGCACTGCCCTCTGGGGGTGGACAGAAAACCCGAGGTGCTCCAAGATGCAGACCTGTGGTGCTGTCCACTTCCGGAACACAGGTGCAGGAGACAGAGGAGCTGAGGAAAGACAGATCCGGCAAGCTGTGCTCCAACCTCGCAGCGTGAACACTGGCCAAGAGTTCACTGTCGCCCCCGTCTCTTAGCAGCAAAATAAGAACTGTGCCCTCTGCAGCATGCTTCTAGCCATCTCCGAGGCTGGAGACCCTCTAAAGAAGAGTCCAATAGATAGTGGGGGAAAAGCTGAAGTACGTTTCCACAGATGACAGTGTAAGGCTCTTGTCCTTTGCTGGTTGGGTACATGTGGTGATTTCCCGAGCCAGGCCTAATGTGGCCGCAGATGTGTTGTGGTGATTGATGGAGACAGCTCTGACCTCAGAGGATTTGGGTCCAGTGAGGAGGGCAACCATCGAATAAGTACCCTTCTCAGAATTGGACTAATAATGGGTGCGTCCCGGCTCAAAGGAGAAGGCAGGGTGCTTCGGCACTCGATAGGGCAAGATCGGGGCGGGGCAGGCAGGCTGGAAGGCTCTGCTCATCTGTAAGGTGCTCCTGCAAGCCAGACACAGCAGTAACACAGGTTAGACGGCGTCCACCCTTCCGCTCCGTGCTCTAGAGACAGCGTTGTGGAAATGATGCCAGCCAGAGGGACACCCCATCATCCACTGCTTACTGACCACCCACCACCTCGTCTCCTTTATTCTGTCGTCCGTGTGTTTCCGTTCCTCGTGTGGAGCTGGTACAGGGACACAGCTCATCTTCGTTCCTTCTAATCCCCTCCCCGTTTGAGAAAGATCCAGCTCCCTGCTTCCCATTATCTTTTCTTTTGCTCTTTATAATTTGGGTTCCTCGTGTAAGAGAAACCGTGTGATATTGGAGCTTGAATGTTTGATTTATCGCACTTACCATTATGGTCTCAAGATGCATCCATTTTCCTACAAATGATTCAAGTTTATCTTTCTTTATACCGGAGAATATTCCTTGGTGTGTAAACACCACATTTTTTAACCACTCATCTGGTGATGGACATACAGGCCACTGCCAAGATTCGGCTATTATGAGTTGTGCTGCTGTCAGCAGGGGTGTGCATGGGTCACTGGAATATGCTGCCTTCAACTCTTTCAGGAAGATACTTAAAAAGTATCTAACTACTTAAGTGGAGTTTCCAGCTTTCATGTTTGGGGGAATCTCCCTACTGGTCTTCATCGAGGTTGCTCCAGTTTCCACTCCCACCAACAATGTAGAAGGATTCTCTCTTCCCTACAGCCTCTCTGGCATTGGTTATTATTTGATTTCTTGATGATGGCCATTCTTTCTGGGGTGAGAGGAATCTCAGTCTTGTCTTAATTTGCATTCTGCTAATAGTCAGCAGTGTTGAGCATTTCTTCATGTATTTATTGGCCATTTGTACCTCTTGTTTTTTTTGGTACCGGGGACTGAACACGGGTCCTTCCGCTTGCAAGGCAGGCCACCGAACTGCTGAGCTAAATCCCCGGCCCCTGTACCTCTTGTTTTTTTCACTTGATCTTAGCCAAAAGGCCAAGAAGCGATTGTACTTCTTGTCTTAAAGCCAAATAGTTTCTTAAGAATTAAGAGATGCTGTGCTTTTGGCTTTGTTAGACTCAAGTTAAATTAGAAAATGCTACATCCTGTTCATATGAAAAAGTAAAGGAATTTTAAACTAGTATTAAAATGAGATAAGAATATCTGATAATGTTGCAGCTACTTCCTGCAGATGTTTTACCACAGCTTATCTAAAAGGAAAACATTCTTCGAATGTACACATCTGTAATAAATATCTAGGCACGACTTAACCAAAATTTCTCCTGATGTTGCATGATTCCACTGGTGGCTGAGTGATTTTCTCCCTCAATAGTTATTTAAATCACTTGAAATTTTAAAACACTGTACAGTAGCCTTCCATTAATTTGATAATTAGTGTCTGTATCTAATTTTCATAAAAGGCATTTTTATCCTGATTCAGGTATGCCTTATAACTTTCACTGGTAAACAATTGTTAGGGATTTAAAGAATTAATCTTTGTAAAAAATAAATGCAACCTAAATAATGCTTAGCCCTCCTTAATCTTGAATTAAACAGATGAGGCACTGGGGTCCCATGTGCATCTGTGGCCTCCTTTAGGTTCCTCAGCACCTTGGGACCAGAGGAGTTAATCAGAAAGGTCTCCTCTTTCGTGTTACTCCCGGGGCTGGACTTCTGTCCAGCAGTTCTTGGGCTTTCATGTCCTGTCTCTGTTCTCTATAAGCTCATGGACTATCTCCGATATTCCACCAGATAAAAAGGAATTGGAGAAGTGGGAGTAATGTCAGTCCAGAATAGCCTTTCTCCTAATGTTTCTCCCACGTAACCCAGGCAGATCACTCCCTCCCTCGCCTAGGTATTAGCAGACAGAACTGCTGTTAATGAGATTCCTAACGCAGAGCAGTGCTGGAGCTAGCAGAACCTTGGTAGGTAACCGGTAATGCCTGGTGGCCCACCTCTAACTGGCCCAGTGAGAACACATCTCTTTTGTTGCTTGATATAAAATTCACTTCTGCTGGGAAACAGTCGACCGCTTCTTCACTAAAAGCTGTGTTTTCCATTTGCAGGGCCCCCATGGGCTTCCTGGACCCAAGGTAATCCAGCAGCTCCCTTGACTGTTTGGTTTGTTTCCTGTCACTGTGGGGATACGTGATGGGAGCATGTCTGTCCTGTCTTCTCTGTCAAGTAACACTGATAATCTTTAAGCCTTTAAGCATCCAGATGTGTGAATCTCACAGTACAAAATGACTTACGCCAAATTTAAGTGATAGCCCTTGGAGACAAATCACTCCTCATCTTGCTTCTTTCCTTGGCACTGTGTCATTTATAACACACTCAGGCCAACCATGCAGAAGTCAGCTGCTGCCGCTCCAGGGGTAGGCCCGCCCGAGCGTTTGATGTGCTGAGTGTACGCAGCACGGCCACATCGGAATGGCTGCACTGGCAGCCTCTGTTTGGGTCTGGCTTCGTCTGGGGTGGGGTGGGGTGACCAGGGGATGCTCTGCTGGGGAGACCCTCTCATTTACCTGCGTTCTACACAGTTGGCTTAAAAGAGAACAGTGGAGCAAAGCCCCTTCCCGTCAGAATGCGCGGCTTGCGGTGGGAGGAGGTCCTTCACCTTTGTGTCAGTCCAGAGGATGCCCTGAAATGCAGGCTCCTCCCAGGGAGTGCAGGAGATGAGTATCTGTGTGCTCATCTCAGCTTGGCCTCCGACAGGCTCTGTCACCTTGGGCAGGTGGCTGCCACTCTGATTCTTCATCATTAGAAAACTCTCAGCCCCATCTCTGGTGCAGCTGTTGATCAACGCTTGTCAGTGTCTGTTGTTACTGTCACCTCGTGACTTGATGCTTCATTCTGAATAGAAAATTTCAAGACAGCTCATCCTTAAGGCTCCTGAGAAGAAGTGTGGGCTCCTGAAAGCTCCTCACCAGAATCTGGTGCATCTGAAAGAGGGAGGAGGACAGCATCCAGGTCAGGGTGGCCCACCTAGCTCCAAGGGTATGGCAAGTCCCGTTCACAGCAGGTAGCCTTGAGTTTCCTTTTCAGGGTCAGGCTAGCAACACCCAAGGGTGAGAGAAGTCCACGCCTGTCTTAAAAATACCTTCCTCCTGCTGAGGCCAATGTCCAAGTCTTAGAAGTATGTACCGTTCTGGGGGTGAAAGAGACCACTTCAGCTTATGAGCCTGGTAGTTATTTAACCTCTTGGTGCCTTTCCCACCTGGAACTAAATCCACGCTTCCCACGCTCAGCTCCTTGAATCTGAAGGTGCCACGGGAGATCGGCCCAATGGTAATGACTAGGGGTGAACGCCAGGATTGGCTTTTATTCCATGAGTGATTCAGATGTGCCACCACCATGGAAGAGAGAAGATGCCCACGACTTTTGGATATGTAAAATGAAATGATTTTGTTCTTATTAAAATAACAGAGCTTGGTAAACTGTACAATTGAGAAGATCTCAGAGATGCTTTTGCTAGGCTCTTGATTTTACAGTTGATAAACTACAAGCCTGGGAAGTTTGCTAGTCCCAAATTATACAGCTGGATAGTGACAGATCTGGGACTGGAATTTGGTCCAGCACTGAGGTTTGGCCTTTTTGCTAGTGGATTTGGCCATTTTTAATCTGACCTCCTCCTCTGATGCCCATTTGTGTCAGTGCACAGCACCCACCGGACTCTCCCAGCCTACTCTTGCTGTGTTGTCTGTTCCTCATCTCAGGTTTACACTGGGTGAGTTGGGCCTTAGAGCCACACTGACCACGACTCTGACGCTCCCAGGACAGACTGCAGCCGTCAGCATTCTGATCTCCTCTTGTGGCTGCACTGCGAGCGCCTCTCCGAAATCCCAAAAACCCGCTGTCTTGCCGGGGGTTCTTTGTTACTCTGTCGACCTTCGAAGGCTCAAAGGTACAAACAGCACGGCTAAGTCTCACTCAGCTTTCCCAAAGCTCCTGCTGAGAAAACCCCTCCGGACGTGAAGCTACGGTCGGTGGTCAAAAAGGGGCGCAGGCTCCAGGCAAATTGGGCGGAGCTGCCTGCATCACGGCGCCCTCTGCAGTGAGAGCATCACCTCTCCTCACCAGGCTTTGCGATTTCCTTGCCAAGTTAGCGTCTATACTTAAATGTTGATGAGTGTACGGGTCAGAACTTTCTCCACCCCTAACATATTCCTGCTGGTGGAAAATGGACGCAATGTATTCCTAGGTTTTTGCAAAGGGGAGGCCAGAGAATTTATCACTGACCTGACTTTTGTAGTGTTGCCCTGAGTTAAATTCGTACCGACTTGATTCTTGCATCGGGGAGATGAGCAGTTAGTACAACTGCACTCGGGTTCTCTGATCTTCACGGTCTCCCCTGAGGGATGGGCTGCCGTGGCCTCTCTTAGTTCACGCAGGGGCCGCTCGGCAGTGTCGTGAGGGGAGGACTCGCTGAACGGCACCGCTTCAAACATCAGCTGCTCCCTTTGCGGGCATTCCCGACAAAATGCTTAAAGGCTTAAAGTGTGTGTCTGTAACTCTCTCCTGCGTATTCCAGCGCTCCGGTCCAGCAGAGGGCGCTTTTCCGACGGAAGCGGCTCGGCAGCTCCGTCCTGGCGGCCTGATCCAAACAGTGTAGACACAGCCGCGCTCACGTCCTTGAGGTGGGACGCAGAGATTCAGGAGCTCAGCCCTGCATCTTCTGATGGAAAGGAACACACTTTCCGGGGAACTCTGCTTCCTAGACTCTTACTCTACCGTCCGTTTTGACTTATTCACTGAAAACATTTTCATTCGTTTTTGAACGGCCCCGAGACAGAGGTAGCCTGACTCTGCTGGTACGGAAGACTGGAATAGGCAGTGATCTCAGAAACTGGCCCTCTTCTCTCTCAGTTCAAACACCCATGATAGCAACCACAATTGGCATTTGCTTTTGCATTTAGGGTGAACCAGGGTTAAATGGTGTTAAAGGATTGAAGGGTGAACCAGGTCAAAAGGGTGACAGAGGACCCCTTGGCCTTCCAGTAAGTAAAGAAAACTTTCCATTTCAGCGCACACTGAGATTTTTCTTTATACCCCAAGAAACAACGCTGGTTTACTCAGTAGCTGTCTTACCGTGGAGATTTCTGTAATCTGAAATCATACCATGTCAGAGCAGGACGCAGCCCAGTGTCGTTTTCCCTGATGTCCACCCTCGTGCCAGAGGATGACCCCGTAACAATGCCGTATATGTCGTTCTCCAATTGCAAACGTGCCAACTTCTGCTTTCCGAGAGGACAGTTGCCCGCCATCCTCCTCTAAAACGTGTTACATCCATTAACTCATAAATCCGCCCAACGTTTTCATAATCCGGGGCAGTTTAGGAGCTCCCACAGCTGTCTCTTCTCCTCGGGGACCAAAAGCTGTGGCCCTCGCTTGGTGGCACGTATGCAATTGGCCGTTGTCAGTGGCATGAGGTCAGTGGTCCCTCACGTTAATCAGTCACATGTGTTCTACATGTTATATGTTGTTTGTTTGGGAAATTCCCCATCATGAAGTTCTTGTGGCAACGTGGACAATGTGGGAGAAGATTTCCATTTGTTTGGAGAGTTTATTATAATGAGACGGGACTTTCCCTTTTATGTACTTCATGCCAGCCTTCTTCCCACCACAGCTAAAATTTTTTAAAATTATTACTGCATCTGAGGCTTTCATTTCCACTTTTCCTAGCCAGCGAATGCAGGTAAAAGTCAGTAAAGAGCCCTACAGCTTGCATTAGTGAAATACGACAAAACTCAGTAACAGAAAATAGTTTGTACCTATATTCAAGAGGTGGGCAGAAAAACGTGATAATTTCGTTTTTCTCCAAGCTACTTTGAAGCACTGAAGTATTCCATCTAAGAGCCAGGGCCTTTACCCTTCAGGCAGGTGTAGATTATTACCATTTTCCCATTTCTTTGCAAATGTCATAATAACGGTGACTGAAGGATGTAGCAAAAGCCGAAAGAAAGTTTGAATTTCCTACTTAATTTAACTTTTTAATGTTTTCTCTATATGTGCTCTAAATTTTGAGCTATCAGTAACTTCCATGCAACATTTAGCCCAGCTCTGTCTGTGCTACCATTAAACAAATAATAGCGTTACACATTTTTACTGTAAGCATTGCTAACTACAGATATATTTTGTTGTGACGGGGTGGATCTTAATAGGATTATACAGAAGGATGTTTTATCATACCCCAAATGGATATGGTATAGCATCGTTGGCGGAGTTTGTAGCTGGGATAATTTTTTTCTTTTGTTTTATTAACTGCATCTGAAGCATAAAATTGGGAAATAGTTCTCCAGCCTTGCCAGAGACCGTGGGGGTCCAGTGCATTGTCTTCTTAAATACTCCTTGATCTAGTCAATATCTTCAATCTTTACTACAAATAAACACTCGGACTTCAAGATGCAAAGCCCTATAAAAATTATACTTGTTCTGTAAACTCCCAACAGAAATCTCATTTTTTATCATATACTATTTGTAGGGCTCCAGGTAAAGAAAAGCATCCGTTGCCTGAGAACTTTTTTTTTTTTTTTTTTTTTTT